CTACTGGGGATGTGCCCGCAACCAAGGTACATGCCCTTGACCAGAATCAAACCTGGGACCTTTCAGTCCGCAGGCCAATGCTCTATCCACTGAGCCAAACCAGTTAGGGCCTCCCCATTTTTTATATATGTTTGAAATTTTCCACAATAAGTTATAAAAGATGTTGAAGTTTTCAAAAGCATTAGGAAAGTTCAATTTCTAATTTGTCTACAGTCTTTGTTAATTAGTAAATTTACTTCATCAAATTTTATATCTTTAAGGAATACCTCTTAAGGTACAAACCACATTCCTATTAACTTGTAATTATGGACATTCTTAATGTTTAATACTTTCCTATGTAAACACTATAATGTCATCTAAATTCTTATGTTTTAGAAAGTTTTATACACAAGAATTATAAATCAACTCACGTAAGAGAGGTCAATACTTAACAGCAATACACCATCTAATAACTCAGTTTCAGACACAAAAGGTTATACAAAAAGGTTTTATTAAGTACAGTTTCATATTTAGAAGAACATTCAAAATTACAAATGTGATTGGGTCTTTAGGATACATAATTCTTAAAAAACACAAGTTATATACAGACATTAGAAATTTAGTCTCCAAAATATTCAATAAAGATGTCTGGGTGACACTTATAGAACTGACCTAGCATTTTTTTCTTCTCTTTGGCAGACAGTTTTGGATCCTTATCAATAGTTTTTAATAAACTCAATAGCTCATCCTTGGTTGTCTTCTGTGTATGGTCCGAATAATCACTTTGATCAATTCTCTCACAAAAAGTATATCCTTAAATATTAAGAGTAAAAAGTTCAGTTAATGAATCTATTCTTTAGATTTAACTATAAAAATCAATATTTTTATATTTAGTCCCCATTTTATAAAATGCATGGAAGATGTTAAGCACTGCCAACTTTCTAAAGCTGGTCAATCTGCATTTGAGTTTAAGGAAGCTCTGCTAAGTCTGAGGAGGTTGTTTAAAGTTTAGTTGAAATTAGGTACAATTACTTACAGTAAAACACTTTCAAGTAAATAGTAGGAATTTATCTTTGGAAGATCATTAAAATAATATTTCTCAGATTACCTGTGCCTGTATTTGGATCTCTTCCCTTCTGAATGGCCATGAGCTTAACACTGACAATTTTATGTAGAGTTCCAGGAATCTTAAAAAAAAGAAGAAGAAGAAGGAAGAAGGGAGGAGAAGGAGGAGGAGGAGAGGGGGAGGAGGAGGGGGAGGAAGAGGAGGAGGAATAGGAAGAGGAGGAGGAGGAGACATTGGACATTATTCAAATGCATTTTAATCTAGTGACCTATTATATAAACTCAAATGAACTACTTTCAGAGTTTTACCTTAAAGACATCTTTTTGATGATCCATTAAAAAGAGTACCAGAAGATCAGTTTTGCCTTTAGATAAATTTTTATTGTCAACAACAGCTTTTGAGAACATCCTTTTCACAACCATTCGGTTGTCACTCTATAAAATAAAATAACACATACCTAATGGCACATATTTAAAAGTTCAACATAAAAGGCAAACGTTAAATATTAATAACTATTATCCTATTTCAGCATGCTGATGATGGAATAATGTGACACGTGGGTCCTATAAGTATTAGGATACCGAATACAATTAACATTTAGACAAAAGACTTACTTCTTTCTGTAATTTAAATTCAGAAGGATGTGCTGCAACAGCCATGAAATACAGTAGTCTTCTAAACTCTTCTCTGCTCTGGGAATCCAGAAGCTTTAGAAAGAGCTGAGTAGCTTCTAATGCTATTTCAGTCTTCCCATTCACTTTAGCCAAAAGAAAAGTGCTTTTAATTTTGACCAAATATGACTATATTAAAGGGAACAGTATTAAGATAAAGCTTAAGCTGAACAGTAAATGTATTCAAAATAATTTTCAAAAGCAAAAAACAAAACAAAAAGACTAGGAATTATAATGAATGACTGATACCATCAAGGAAGCCAATTCTCGAATTGGCAACTAATATCCTAAGTCCTTGTCATACATTACTCTTAGGATGTTAAATCCAAGTCTTGGCTTTGTACATAAATTTCCAGCCTGTTTTCCATCAATTCAATACATTTTCAGGGCACACTATAGGTACAATATTGATGTATCCAACCCTCCCTGAGAAAATAGCCTGGTATATTGGTAGAGGGACAAAGCAGGAGTCCCATTTTGAAGAGACTGAAGGAGAATGATGGTGGTATTGGTGTTCCTTTCTAAAGAAGAGAACAGCTACTCTATGCTTAATGAACTTCCAACGAATGAGAGTGGCATTCTGTGGGCACTAGAAGTTGTAGGTCACTTCAGAACTTATCAAAGCCTCTTTCCAAATGATCCCTAGATGTTTTGAAATAAACATAAAATCCAGATCCACTCCTAGCTTGAAGTTATACCATTCTGATTAATTTTGAGAACAATTTTTTTCTTGTTTCTTCCACAATACTAATTCTAGTATCCAGTAAGATTCTTACTTACCTAAGAGCTCTGCAATTCCATTATGAACATCACATAAGTGATTTAACAGAGGTTCCCTACTACTGTAATATTTGCCAATGGCATTAAACAGAAGTTCTTTCACTAAGTCTATTCTATCTGGTTGCTCAGGAAAGTTTCTGCTTATGTCCACCACCATCTGGTCTGGTAGGTATTCCAAGCAGTCAGTTGCTGCAGAGAGCCACTCATCTTCCCTATGTGGGGAAAAAAGAACCATTTTAAAAAGCCAAGAGTAACAAATATACACATAGTACCCATTTTACTAGCTATTTCCAGTTTGCCACCAGGATAAATTTCTACACACTTAGGTAAAGATATGTGTAATTCTTTTTAATATATAGAGAGGTCATGTATCACAGATAAAAAGTTCGGCTTATTAAATGTCTTCTTTTTCTTACCTTTTTAAAAAGTGAAAATGGAAGCTATCCAGTACAATATAGAGCTAAAAAGGACATCAAAATTCAAACTCTATTCTTTACATTTACAGTAGAGGCACAGAAACTCTTAAGTTACTTGCTCAAGGTCCCAGACAGGACTAGATCCCAGATCTGATTCCTAGACCACTATTTTTCTAATATAGTGTTCCTTACTTCAGAACTCTATATATAATGTCATCTCTCACTTTGGCTGAGAGAATAGAGAAAGATAAGGTAGGGTTTCAGAATAATTAAATATTAATTACCATTTCTAATAAAAATACCAGCTGAGTGACTTCAGAAAAAGGCTGTATTTCAAGACATAAAGTAACTTTTAAGATTTGATTTGTTAATATATATAGTTTAAAAATATTCATGTACTCTACTGCTATAGAACAACTATATCTACCACCCAGGTGCATTATCGGGGGCAGGTCACTTCATCTCTCTGGGCATCAGTTTCATCAAGTTTATAAGAAGCAGCGAGATGATCTTTAAGGTTACTTCTAGCACAATTGCTGATTCTGTATTTAAATTTAAGGTCATAATGTTTTCACGTTACTTTAGATTGTAGAAATGTAATTTAAATTCCTGTAGAATAATAAGCTCCCATTATACATGCAGAGTTCAATAACTAGTAAGTTGGGATTAACTTTTACATGTAAGGTTTTAAGTTAGCTTTTGACATTCAACTATTTGTTTATTAATAGCTCACTGGAATTTAGATCCGGTGAAGTACTAAACATGTTAAGTTGTATTTCTTTCTAACATTTCCATCTCTCTAACTATGCTGGAACACTATCTGCTAAGGCAAAATTATTAAAAATTAAATGAGCTTAAAATACAAGATTTTAACCTTTAATAATTATATTTAGGAGAGGAGCTCCAAAGTTATCAGGAATATAGTGCTCTGCTTTAAGGGGGGAAAATCATTATTTCCTTAACTTGAAGTTAATTTAAGCCTTTAAATCTTAAGATTTATATTCAGGAGGATGGTAGAGGTGAAACAAGAGTTACTTTCATTATATTTATTTAACAAAACTAGTTAATTTAAAAATACATATTTAACAGGTATTCTAGAGGCATATGAAATGCACATGTGGAGCCCTGGCCGGGTACCTCAGTTGGTTAGAGCATTGTCCCAATAGGCCAAGGTTGCAGTATGATCCCTGGTCAGGGCACATACAAGAAACAACCAATGAATGCATAAATAAGTGGAACAATAAGTCAATGTCTCTCTCTAAAATCAATAAGTAAATTTAAAAAATGTTTAAGCATATGTGGTCAAAAGATTCTAAGAATTTGCCAAATCTGTTCATTTTTTCCAGGTTTCTTTGAAGACCGACACCCCTAAGAGACCAAACAGACCTACATTTTAACAAAGATAAGAAGATGGAGCATAATCATTTTCTTCACTTGATGTACAAGTAAGTTATATGTGAAACAAAAATGAATATGAAAAATAATGAAATATAAATCTCTTTCTAATTTTGACCACAGTGATTTTGTTCTTTACTTTCCCAAATACTGATAATATCACCTGACAATGCATATCTGATTCTATGGACAGAAGAACTCAAAAGATTATCTTAAAACAATTAGCTATAACCATCCTACAAGCACACTCAAATTATTATATGTAGTTCCACATACTGAGAGTCACCATAAGCCTTGAGAATCCCTCGATCCAGGTAGTTACTATTGTTGACCAAGTCAGGCTGCCTCTTAGGTTGAGAAACTTTAGATACAACCTCTTGCTGTTTGAGTAAGGAGTCAAGAAGTGGAAGGTCTACAAGTTGCAGTAGACGCGCAATTGTTTCTTCTTGCCAAACTTCATTAATAACTACACAGGAAAAATGACAGGGCGAAAAATAACAATAGTTACTAAACGTTCATCATGAGATTTGTCTAGGCAGATATAAGCTAATAAATTGTGGCAAAAAAAAAAGTGAGAGAGAAATAGTCAACCTTATTAAGTGATTTCTGAAAACAATTCAAGATTTGTTTAAAGTGTAGGAGAACAGACTTTGGACAACAGGAATTCCTTTCATTCTTGTACTATAAAAAGCAATATGGCAGAGATAAGAAATCAAGTCATAAAGCATGTTAATAAGGACTTTGGAAGAATGGTTCATTCAATCTGAAAACTCGTTTGAAACTCTTGCCTGCAGATTATTCCACTCAGGGTTTCCACAACTAGGATGGGGGAGGGAAGGTGGAAATCAGTCATGAAACTATATTCCATTTCCACAGACAAGGAAGAATATAAGAATTCTGTTACTATTTTAATGGAATTTTCAAATTTTTATTTAACCTAATAAAATCTTAAGGAAATAAATATCTGAAAGCATATTTTAAATAAAAATCTACATGCAAAACATTTCAGATTTGAACCTCTGCCAGCTGACAGGACAAAAGTCAGTGTTCAAGAATTGCAACACTGATCTATTTGTTAAAGATAATAGACCTCTGTTAAAACTTAATATAAACAGTTTTAATACACAGTGTGCTCTTTCTTTGTGCTTTGAATATTTAAATTCTAAAAAAGGTTAAAATTGAAACATTTTTAAATAACTTTATTTGAAATTAGCCTTCTGCTTCTTACTTGCATCATCTTTAACTTACCTTGTGGAGACAAAGTTGCAGAGATATTTACATGAGGGGAGTTAGCAGGCTTTAAACTCAGATTTTCCCACAGGTCCTCTAAACTTGCTGATTTGATATCAGATGATTTAAAAAATGCATCTGTATACCTAAAATGAATTTATTTCATAAATTAATGCTTATTAGTAAGCCCACAGAAATATTTTAGTATTCGAGAGCCAAGAGTTTCTAGAAAGTTTATGTATTTGAGTAAAAACACAATACATGCAAATTCTAAGAGTAGAATAACATACAAAACATCCCACCTTTTTTATTAGGCCTAAATATACATACTCCAAATTCTCCTTTGAACATTTAGATTTAAGTAACTCAATGACTAAAATGTTAGTCTGAATTTTAAAACAAACTTCATTATGCTTAATGTTTTTTATTATCTCTATTTCTGGGGCATTCTTTGGTAGACAGTGCTAACCATTCTCCAAATACAAATCTACAACCCTTTATTCACAATTCTGAAACCCAAAAAGCTTGGAAAAAATCTAAAGTTTATTCAGAACTCATATGATGACAAAACTTGTTTTGAGACTATCATAGTTTTTATGTATCCCAGTTAGTATGAGTGTTTTGTTTACTGCAAAAACATTAATAAGTTGATTAAAGATCCTTCTAGGGGTGTTATCTAATATATATGTACAAAATACCTTTCTAAACTCTCCTAAGTTCCAAATTCCTAAACGAATCAGTCAGGTCCCCAGAGGTTTCAGATAAAGCGTGTGGACCTGCATCTGGAAAGTGTTGACTTGCCCTACCTTACCCTCATATTTCCTTCCCACATATAGCGGTAAATTTTATTATGTTTTAAATATACAGTTTTAAAATATTTGAAAGTCAATACATTAAACTTGTGTCAGCTCTGAATTATAAGAGCTTCAATTACCTCTGCACGATTGAGGTGAGGGGAATAAAAGGAAAAAGTTTTGGGTTTTTTTTATAACAAATAACTCAGTTCATTATGTACTTATCACCTACATTCATTTCAGTCACTGGGGTTTTACAGTTCTGTCCCACAGTCTCCCTTTATATGTCTCCCTCATCTTCACCACTGCCGTTTGCTTCACCCTCATCTGTAGACTGCAATATTGCAATAAATTCCAAACTGGCTCTCCCCATTAGGCTGACCGTACAGCTGCCAGGATGACCTTTCTAAAATGCAATCTCATCCTGCTTAAAATCTTTCTGTGGCTTCTCAAAACTGTATGACCAGGCACAAACTCCTTAATATGTCATATGAAACCTGTGCATTCTAGCTCTCACATGCCTTTCATACTTCACATCTACCATTTTGTGGAATCTAGTAATACCCTACCTGCCTGCGTTCACCTTCTCTGTTCTCATACCATTTTGTGGATAAGCTAACATTTTTTACACTATAAAGTGTAACTTGAAGCAGAAAAATCAGTTTGTTGATTGTTCATATTTTATATTTAGCAGAAACAAACAAGAATTCTAAAAGGTAGCAAAAAAATAAAAGTTCACTCTACTTGATCAAATTTATCCACAAACCCAGATTTTAGCCTAATTTACTAATTCAAAAGAAACAAAGCCAGTCAGCATCTTATTAATAAGTAGACAAAATCCTGCCAGTATGCCCATGAGAACCTTATATTATATACTAACCTAGAAGGTGAATGTAGTTTATTCTCTTTGCCAAATTGACTGTCTTGGTTGGGTACTGTTGTGAATCTATAAAGGCTGCAACTACTATCTTCAAACATAGGTTTTTTGTCTTTTCTAAAGACTTTGGTTGGAACTGCTTCAAATACTTTGTAGTCCATAAGTGCTTGACACACTCTTACTACTTTGGCCCGAGGAATATCTATATCACCAAAATATTTATTCTGAATTAGGTGAGAAAAAATAACATCGACAGCTTCTGAACCAACAAAGCAGTCATTGTGTCTTTTTAAATGGTGCCTTCGTTTTTTCACCTCCACTTGTGTTTGAAGAGTGTTTATAATGCTACTCCATACATATGTGGCTCCAAATGGTTTCTGGGCCACACTGAAACCTGGAATGGAAAAAAATCACAGAGTAACCTTATTGATTTATGATAAGGTCTAAGAAATCCTTAAGCAAAAAGTGGCAATTTCTAAAGTTATTAAAAGGAACAATTGTGAAGTCAGCTTCTTATTGAAATATCAAATTATTAGTAACAATTCATTTAAAAAATATAATGCCTACTATATGCTAAACACTGTCCTGTGTACTAGGATACAAAGTGAACAAAATAAAGTCCCTGTTCTCATGGATGTATACTTTATGGGAAGATACAGACAATACAAATATGTTAGATCAATGCGAAGAAGAAAACTAAAGCTAGGTAAGGAAGAAAATGCTATTTTAGATGGACATCAGGAAACACCTTTCTGACCATGTGATTTCTGAGCAGAAACCTGAGTTTCTGGGCACCATTTAAAAACCAGGAAGCAGCCCGGCTGGTGTTGCTCAGTGGTTGAGCGTTGACCCATGAACCCCAAGGTTACCAGTATGATTCCCAGTCAGGGCACATGCCTGGATTGTGGGCTCGATCCCCAGTAGAGGCCATGCAGGAGGTAGCCAATCGATGATGTTTCTCTCTCATCAAAGTTTCTATCTCTCCATTCTCTCTCCCTTCCTCTATAAAAATAACAACAACAAAAAACTACAACAACAGAAAGCAAGCTATGCATATATTAGGGGAAAGAGCAGAGAGAACAGAAAGAGCAAAGGCCTTGAGAAGAAGAAGGAGACCAGCATGGTTTGTGTGGGTGACAAAGGGAGAGAACAGTAGGAAGTGAGATCAGAGAAGAGTAGAAATAGGGTTTGGGGCTCAGGGTTTGCAGATCAAGTAGGACCTTGTGGCAGTTACTAATTATGTGCAAGGAACTCTATTAAGTGCATTAATGATCTAATCTTCATAGCAACCCTATGAGGGAGATATCATTTCTTTTTAAAAGATGGAAAACAAACTCACAGAGGTTAAGGGTAATTCCAGACATTATAAGAGGTGGTATTGGATTTGGCTCATGTTCTATATAATTTTAAAGCATTATCAATCAGATAGATAGATAGATAGAGATATAGTTATAGATACACACACATGGTTGTTGCATCAGTAAAACAGTAAGGAATATGGGGAATTGTAATTAAAGAAACTACTACTGGAAATTACATTCCTGCCTTCTTAGGTAAAATAGAATATGGAAGGTGAAAGCAAAGATAAGTTCCTGAAGGACATGAAAACTCCACTTAATGCACTAGAATCATAAATTTTAAGTGGGTCTTTTGGAATTCATCTTTTGTGTTGCAATTAATATAATGAGTGTAGTCGACCATCTATATATATAAAAGCCTAAGCAACCATTATGACCAGATATATAAAAGCCTAAGCAACCATTATGACCAGACGACCAAATGACCGGCTGGTAGCTTTGAGGTGCACTGATCACCAGGGGGCAGACGCTCAACACAGGAGCTGCCCCCTGGTGGTCAGTGCGCTCCCACAGCCAATTTCCTGCGGCCAGCCAACCTCTCGCGGTCCCTCTCCCTGACTGGCCAGCCCCGATCGCAGGCCAGGCCAAGGGACCCCACCCGTGCATGAATTCGTGCACCGGGGCTCTAATTATACTATAATTTTGTAGCTACTAGAAATGTTAACATCTTTACCATGAAAATACTAACATACAAACACACATATACATAAAGCCCTTGACTGCTTATTTGTAGATTTTCAATACCAAAAGCTGATGGGTAATTTTCTATCTACCTATTATGATGATGTTAT